CTCCGGAGAGAGCAGCAGGAGGGGAATCAGCACTCACCTGTCTGGTGCAGCGTCCAACAGCGCTGTCAGAACGCAGGGGCAGGGCCGTGGTGGGGCCAGCGGGGAGGGACCTGCCAGGGCATAAATAAAACCCAGCCCCGGGGGACGGTGCTCACACACCGAGAGCCACCGCCAGACAGACAGACACCCGCTTCCCACAGGCTGGGAAATGCTCACCTGCCTGCCACTCCTGGAATGAAAAGGCCAAAGGGATGCAGCATCTGTAGGGTTTTCTATTCCTTTTACTACAGAGAGAAGCAGTGCAGAGAACTTCCCTTCCTCTTGGATTTGCCAGCGCAGGGGGGATGCACGAGACCAGCAGTGAAAGGAGAAACAGGGATTTGGGGATGTTTAGTGAAGAGGAAAGAAATATCAGGGATTAATAAGCAGGGGTTCTTGCACCTCTCTGCTCCACAGGAATATCTTTTCCAGATCAGCACAGGCAGAGAGGGAATTGCAGGTGCTCGACACAGGGTTAGCGTGGTGCTGACAGGTGACAACGTGTCCCGGTGTTGGGGACAGCTGGAGGAGGCCCATCCAGCCCTCAGGCAGGGCCACAGGAGTTGGTGCTCGGGGGAAGCATCAGATTTGATTTCTCAGCCCTGGGGAGACAGGGAAGGGGTTCACGGGCGTCGGAGAGGAGCACAGGAGCTGCCAAAGGGATGGAGCCAGGCTGGGGGGGGAACAGCACTCCCCACAGCCGGCCTGGGCTGCTGAGCCTGGCGGGGGACCCCAACCTGACGCTGCTGCACAGCCGGGACGAGGAGCTGGCCAAGGCGGAGGTCGGGGTGCTGGGCACCATCCTGGCCGTCGCCACCGTGGGCAACGCGGGGGTGCTGCTGGCCATGTACCGGCTGCGCAGGAAGATGAGCCGCATGCACCTCTTCATCCTGCACCTGGGGCTGAGCGACCTGGGCGTGGCGCTCTTCCAGGTGCTGCCGCAGCTCATCTGGAAGGTGACCTACCGCTTCCTGGGGCCGGACCCCCTCTGCAGGGCCGTCAAGTACCTGCAGGTGCTGAGCATGTTCGCCTCCACCTACATGCTGATGGCGATGACCCTGGACCGCTACCTGGCCGTGTGCCACCCGCTGCACACCCTGCAGCAGCCCACCCGCCAGGCCTACGCCATGATCGGGGCCACGTGGCTGCTCAGCTGCCTGCTCAGCCTGCCCCAGGTGTTCATCTTCTCCCTGCGGGAGGTTCGCCAGGGCTCGGGGGTGCTGGACTGCTGGGCAGACTTCAGGTACCCGTGGGGAGCCCGGGCCTACATCACCTGGACCACGCTGTGCATCTTCATCCTGCCCGTCGGCGTCCTCACCGTCTGCTACGGCCTCATCTGCTACGAGATCTGCAAGAACCTCAAGGGCAAGACCCAGAGCGGTGCCCCTGGCACGGGGGGGTCCTCGGGGGCTGCCCCTCCCGCCCCCTGCCCCCCGGAGAAGGGCGGGCAGCCCTCGCGGGTGAGCAGCGTGAGGACCATCTCCCGTGCCAAGATCCGCACGGTGAAGATGACCTTCGTCATCGTGGCCGCCTATGTCACCTGCTGGGCGCCCTTCTTCAGCGTGCAGATGTGGTCAGTGTGGGATGAGGACGCTCCTGACGATGGTGAGTGGTGGTGGTGGGCGTGGGGGAGCTGCACAGGGTGGGCACAGGGCCTTGGGAACGCGCAGTGGGCCTGCTGAGCTTTTAACGAACTCGAACCGAGAGCTGCCTTGTTATTCTGTCATTTAAAAAAAAAGAAAAAAATCACAGGTTTCCTCCCCGGTGATATTTATATAAAGAGAATTTATATTTCTATATATAGAAGAGTCAAATCATTCCTTTTGTCAGAAAAACCACTGAAAAATAATGATTTCTGGCCCTCATCCACAGGGACAGGCAAAGATGTGGGAACATCCGTGCCCCGTCCCTTCCCTCGTGTAGGAATTCACAGAGGTTTCAGAAGTGCATTTCTGACCTCATGGGTTGACTTATTTATTTTTTCCCTGGAAATTTTCAGTAGCTTTCCTAGCCTGTTCATGGGTAGAAGGCACTTTATCCAAGATCAAAGATCCTCTGGGAGATGCTTTGTCCAGCAAACAGGCTGCAGGAAGATCCAAAAGGTCCTGGGTCTCACCTCCCAGAACATTCCCTGAGGATGTGCTCTGGAACATCCCCCCTGCAGAACATCACCCTCTGCCAAGGGTAGAGCCCATACAAACCCTCCTGCCCAAAGGAATGCCAGGGAGGTGGGATGGGAACGGGACAAAGGACAAGCGCCCAAGCCAAAGAGAGCCCCCAGGTCCTGCCCATCCCCTGTGGAGGTTTCATCTCTCCTCCTTGCCTCCCCAGAGTCCACCAACGTGGCTTTCAGCATCACCATGCTGCTGGCCAGCCTCAGCAGCTGCTGCAACCCCTGGATCTACATGTTCTTCAGCGGGCACCTGCTCCAGGACGCTGCGCGCTGCCTGCGCTGCCGGGGCGGCCCCCGGGCGGGGCTGGGCAGAGCGGCCTCCACCGGGAGCCTCTGCAGCAGGAAAACCACCATCCTGAGCCACAGCCACCACGCCAGCCCTGCCAGCCTCCCCCTGCACGGGGGCAGCGCCAGGGAGCTGTACCCACCCTGCGAGGAGGGGGTGACAGAGTCGGGCACGCTCTAGGGCACCGTGGGCACTGACGTCCCTCCACTGCCACCACCACGAGCTGCGTGTCACAGCGGCTCCCCCCCCAAGATGGTAGTGTCTCATTTTGCAGAAATCTGAATGTTTAACCCAGAAAGCATCGCTGTCCATCTTGTCCTTGCTGCTGCACAACCTGTGAGCGTCGAGGGGGGATGGACAGAGCCCCACCAGCCGCTGCCTGACCGCAGCACTCACCTCCCTGGGGCTTTAGGGAGCCTCTGGCTGCTCTCCTCCAGGAAGAGGATGCTGCATCCTCCCTGAAGGGGATGCTGCACCAGCAAAATCTTCCTGGAGGGACTCGAGCTTTGTGTGTTTCTCAGATGCCAGCAAAGCAGCCTGAGCACAGCAGGAGGCAACGTGGCTCCATCTGCTCGAGAGCTCCCCGTGAGTTACTCATCTCCCATCCTCAGGGCTTTGCTGGCCGTGCAGACAAGCAGGACACAGCTCTGCCCTGCCCTGGGGCACAGCACACTCACCCCTCTGGGCTGCAGAGCGTGTTCCTCTGCTCACAGGTCTGGAGCTGACCCCCTGCCCACCTGCCCCGGGCCAGGGATGGGGCTGGGGCAAAGCCACGGAGCAGACACATCCTCTCCTGCACTTCACAGCTGTCCTGCATCGCACTGTGCCCATCTGAGGGCCCAAAATGCAACACTGACACCCCCAAGGAGCTGTTCGGAGCAGTCCTGGCTCTGCTCCAGCTCAGATCCTGCTTCCCTCCAATCCCTGGCACTTCCCATCAGGTTTACTCACAGCCCCCAATCCCTGTGTGGGGCTGCTCTGGCTGTTCAACATCTGCTGCATCCCACTGCAGAGCTGCTCTCAAACTGCTGCTGCTTTTGTCTCATTTAGCAGGGATAAGGGTGCCAAAACCACCCAGGGCTCAGACACAGCTTCAGGGAACTGGGGAGCACAGGGGAGGGGGGCTCTGGAGTGAGCCATGGCTTTGTAGTCCCAGCCTGGCCCCTGCTCTTCTCCCTGTTCACTGAGGGTATCCCAGAAGCTGTTTTGTGCAAGAATAAAGCATGGATGAGGCAGGAAAGAACATCCATTTGCTCTGGCAGTCGAGCTCAAAAGCTGCTGATGGTGACGTTACAAATGCCCCAGCAAAGGTACCAAACCCCCTGCGAGCAATGTGCATTGATCCTTCTGTTATCACAGGCTAAACCTGTAAAAATAAGACATTGAGAGTAAAATATTTTGAAATCTTAAATTATTTTCACTTTTTAATCACCAAAGAATTTGAACCAGGTTTCCCAGAAACTCCCACTGGCTGGTTTTGGCCTTCCCCCCAGCTCCATAACCACCCCTCTCCTGGCCTCTAGTGATGTTTCCCAGAACATGCTTTGGGGTTTTGAACATTTTCCTTCGTGTGCCCTTCAAGTTGTGCCAGATCTGCAGAGCAAGGTTATAAAACTAGGAGTGCCTGACCCCCCCTCCCATGATCAATACCAAATCAATTGTCTCACAACCTTTCATTAAAGCACTTTGCTGCCGAGCTGATTTGAAATGCACTTGGGGGCAGCTCCATCCCTGAGGAAGGGGGGCTGTGCTGGGAGGCAGCAGCTCCATCCCCCTTACAAAGAGCTCCCAGCTCCACACTCCCACTTCCCAACACTCTGGAAGTTTATTTCTTTAATAATCCTAAGTAACAAAATGCAGAGTGAGGAGCAAGGACATCACCCAGGTGGGGAGAGGCCAACCCAGGCACTCAGGGCATCAGGTGCAGGGACAAAGCAGTGAAAGCAAAAGGTGGGAGACAGGGAATATCATTCCTCCCCACAAGGAGGGAGGAATGACAAGGAGGGGGGGACTTGGAAATATTTTGAGCATCAAAGGAAAAGGGGTGCAGGGCAGGGCAGTGGATCAGGGCTTGTCAGGCAGCGAGGGCAATACAGGGGGAGAAACTGCATTTAACAGGATTTTATGAGGGTGATCAGCAAAACAAGCATCATTCAGAGGAGCTGTCAGCCAGTCTGGGTGGGTATTTTGAAGATTCCCTCTCTGAACTACATCCCATTTCAAGGGGTTGGGGGGGAATATTTCATTTGCTTTCATGAAATGACAGAAAGGGCCATCACACAGAACTGGGGAGCACATTTCAGCCTGGGTGGGAGGAACACTTCCACGCACCACCCCACGCTCCGGGAACAGTGATGCCTTTAAGCAAAAAACGCCAAGTCAACCGCATTCCTTGTGCTGCAGGGAATAAGAGCTGCAGGCATCAGCCTGTGCCAGGCACCGCCCGAGGGAAGGGGCAGCCCTGGTGGTGCAGCTGTGCATTGCCCAGCAGCATCCAGGGTGTCACAGCTTCACCTCCGTGTACTCCACAGGCTTGGACGCCACGGGGCTGAAGCAGGGCCAGAGATGTTCCTTCTTCTTCGGGTCCACGTTGACATAGTCCCTCCCTCTCTTGATGTCCTCGTAGTCCTGGGCACAGCCTGGCCCACGGCCTTTCCCTGAGAAGACCAGGGATGTGTAATTGATGTTTTCTCCCGAGCCCTGGCCCTGCAGAAGCAGACACGAACCCCGGGTCAGGCCCCAGCACCCGCCTGGGGGGGGCTTTGCCCTGAACCCACCCAAAGGGTTGCACCCATTCATAGAGTCATGGGATGGTTTGGGTTGGAAGAGACCTTAAAGCTTCTCTCATTCCACCCCTGCCATGGGCAGGGACACCTTCCACTATCCCAGGCTGCTCCAAGCCTCATCTAACCTTGGACACTCCCAGGGACGGGGCAGCCACAGCTTCTCTGGGCAACCTGGCCTCCCCATTCTCGCAGGGAAGACTTTTTTCTAATATTCCTAATCTTCCTAACATGCCCAATTGTGCCCAAGGATCTCCCTGACCCCTGGGGACGTTCCCCTCTAAATGGGGACTGCTGCACGTGGCAGAGGACAGCCACCATTCCCTGATGGAATCTCCATATGATTTGATGGATTTCCACCCAGGGGCTGCTCTGGGGGTCTCGAGCCAGGCAGGAGCCACATGGACACAGTGCTGGCCCCTCCACTGCTGGGCTGGGGCTGTTCTGGCAGGGGCTCTGTGCCCACAGCTGTACCTGTGGGCAGGAAGGGCTGTCGGCCGAGTCCTCCGAGGTGTCCGAGGATGTGTCGCTGCTCCCTGAAACACAGGAGACATTACCACCAGCAGCCCTTCCCAGGGAGCTACAGGAGTGAAACCTGAAAATCCAAAACCCACCAGTGTGAGCCCTCCCCACCACACCCCCAACCTGTAGGAAACCAGGCAGGGAAAGCCTGGGAAGATAGGAGGGAACTGGGATGGTGAGTGGCTCTTGTGCCGGCGTGGCCACCCCAGGGGCTTCACAGCTCAGAAAGGAAGGCACATCACACAAATACCAAGCCAAAAGTTCCCATCCCAGCGCCAGGACAAAGCCCTGTTGCTGCAGGACCCCCTTACCTGCATCGGCTGGTGCTGGTTGTTGTGCCCCGAGCCCTCCTGCTGATGGGGCTGGATCCGGGGTGGGCTGTGCCACAGGGCTGCTGGACCCCTGCATCCCATGGGAATGTTGGGCTGTGACCAGGAGGAGAGTGAGCACCTTGCCCTGTACCCCACACACCACGTGGACCCCCACCCTGTCCAGGAGCCCCAGCACTGCCCCACAGCAAACCCAACCACCCCAGCAGCAACCACTGCTGTGTCCTGGAGCGGGCACAGATCCACCAGCTGGGTTAGGGAGATGATTCAGCTATGCCCTGTTCCACAGTGAGAGGTTGCAGCGTTAAATCGCAGTGTCAGGGCCTCTCCTTGCAGGTTTGAAATGAGTTTGACCCCGGTGGCCAAGCAGAGCTGGGTTATGTACAAATGTGAGCAGCAGTTTTGAGTGAAAGGCTTTCCTGCAGGAAAAAAAGTCTTTTTCATCGGAAATAAGATTCTGTCAGTGGATTCTGGAGGTGGTTTTCCACCACTTCACTAACAGAAGCAATAAAAGAAAATGGTTATGAAACAACACAAGGCTGTAAAACCCTTGCTGATGCTGCTCACATCACTTACAGCTCTCACACAGCCTGGACCCCAGCACAGCACAGTGATGCTGGTGCTCCATCCCTGCCCTGACCTTTTCCCATTCCACACTGGGCCCCAGTAAAAGGAACCCAGCAAGGAAAGCCAACAGGACAGTAAATTACCTATTTTCCTGCTGAGCATGATGTAAAGTGACAGCAAGAGGAGAGCATACAGGACCAAGGTGACAGCTGAGATGATGGCAAATATCCACCTGAACAAGAGAAAAATATTCTTTTAAATCTTTCAGGTACTGTTTGGCTGCTGCTGGTTCAAGACAGAAGGTTTGCTGGTAGTTTTTGGGTTTGCTTTTTGCCTTTAAGGCAATGTGCCCCAAAATCTGGGGCTTGGTTTACAAGCACAACTAGTGTTCCTTGCACTTCATTTTTTGGGTGCCTGTCCTCAGAAGGATTTTTGAAACCCTCGTTGTCAGTTTGGGGGGGAGGGGTGTGTGTTGCTTGAGGGAAGGGAGAAGTTACAGATATTATAGAATTATAGGATGGTTTGGGTTGGAAGGGACCCCTGAAACTCCTCTTGTCCAAACCCCCTGTTGAGCAGGGACATCTTCAACTAGACCAGATGGCTCAGAGCCCCCCAGCCTGGCCTCAGGGCTCTGCTCCCAGGGTGTTGCACTCACCACTCGCAGGAGATCATTCTACCAGCGAGGCGTCTCCAAGGCCTTGGGGGGACACAGAGAGGCAGCAAGACCTGCTGGCAACCAAGCAAAACGGTCCCCCTGAGCTTCACGCTGCTCCTCACGAGCTGAAGATGGGGCTCAGCACTTGAGAGCGCTGGTTGGGCGCTGCAGATGTCAAATAAAGGTCCCCCAGCCCTCCCCTCTGTGTGAGCCCTTCTTGTTCACACCCTCACACGGCCACAGGCTCTCCCTGCCCTTATCACTGAGCTTAATGGCTTTATAAACTGTCACCTCAGTCCTATCTGCTGCTTGACAGGAGCTCCACTGCGGCCCTGCGAGCAACAAGAATTGAAATTTATTCTTCTCGCTTTAATCCTCTCTCGCAGTTCTTCCTTTCTTTCTTTCTTTTTTTTCTTAATCCACCAAAAAAAAAAAAAAAAAAAGAGAGAACTATAATCTGAAAAAAAAACATAGAAGAAAGTAACCAAAAGAAGGTTGTGAGTTGGTGTGAGGCTCTTGCATCAGTCAAGGTCCAGACAGAAATATCAGAGGCCCTTCAACACCTCCGTGTCTGAGACACCTCGGATTTAATTCTAGGTGAGCGCTTAAATCCTGCTGAAGTTAAGAAGGTTTAAGGCAGAAAATCAGAAAACACAAATGCCTGAGCTGGGCACCTTGGCTTGGGGCTTCTGGCCATAACACTCAGGAGATTTATAATGAAGGACAGCAATTGAAGTGCTCATTCTGTGAGCTTTCACTTGCATAAAATAACTTCAGATTTTCACTCAGCCCCTGTAAACTCTCATTTATAAATGGCTGTCAGGGAGAGATTTCAATGGAAGTTTTGATACAATGATTAAAGAAGCCATGATAATATGACTGATTGATAGATTGATAGTTACAGCAAAGGCATTATCCATCCCATGGATCAGATTCTATAATTTCCTCTATCACACATTTTGAAGTCTAATTCACCAAAAGCTTTCCTGATAACCACCACTCTCCTGTGAAATCCCACTTACCCAAACAGTCTGGCAACATCCGACCTAAAAGTCCATTTCTTGCTGGAATCTTCCCCCTCCCTTACTGAGCTGCTCTGCCCCCAAATATCCCCCTCAGAGGGCTGCCATTCTTTAAAGGCTCATTTCCTACCGTGGGGCAGGAGATGCTGCTGAGGCAGATAACGATCTGCAAAAAAACCACGAGCTGTTCAAAAGGAAATTGCAAAATAAGACCCAAATCCAACTATCAGTGGCGGGCAGGCTCTTTGCTGAGATGGGTATGGCGAGATCGAAGCGCCGATAGGCGAACGCGTCTCGAAATCTCTGTTTGGAGAGAGCAGCCAGCCAGAGCCTGGCAGCACATGTACTTTTTTGGTCTATCAGGTAATTTCTGTGGGCCTCCCACCCTCCAGTGCCCCCCCCCAGGACATGAACCCTTTCTCAAGCAAGATGCTGTGTTGGAATCAAGGCTTGCAAAGAGCTGCTCCTCGGCCCGATCGCTGAGAGGTCAACGCAAGACGCCTCCGCTCCACCTGAAGGTAAGAAAAACCACCAGAATGCCTCAAATTGTTTTAGAGCCATCAGACTCAGGCCTTGCTGGCCCAGTTTAAGGCCAAAGCTCAGCCTGGCAGTGGCACCCTCGGATGTGGACACCCAGCCCAGCTCTCTTCCTGCTGTTCCACCCCTCTGCTTTCCGAGCATCGCATCCAGCGCCCGGCAGAGCGCGATACCCGGCGGTGATTTACCTGGGGGAGAGGAGCTTTCCACACTTCTTTCCTGCAGGACTGGGGCAGCTGGAGCCTTGGAGGCAGCAGGATCTAAGGATGTCTCGGCAGCATTTTGGGTGCAGCCGCAGGGTCCGGCAGCTCAGAGCACTCGCCGGCTCGGTGCCGGATGCGGTCACGCTCTGCCCCCATGGCGATGGCAGGAACGAGCCCACATGAGGTTCCATGACGTCTCCCCTCTGTCAACTGCCTCATTTAAATATATTTGGGTGTTTCTCTGCTGTTCTGCAACCACTTTGCTCGGGGGTTTGGGACCCTGCACGGCTTGACCAGTTCTGCCTCTTGCTCCGCCTTCCAGCAGCTTTGTGCTAAAATGCAGCTGAGCCTCCTTGGAGCAAAGCAGTCCTGAGGGCAGGGAGCCAGCTGCAGTCCCCAGCAACTCAGCTGCCACCCAAAAAGTGCTCTGGGTGCTTCCAGGTAAACATCTTCCACAGGGATAAAATATATTACTTCACAGGGGATGTGGTCCCAGCACCTTGCAGGGCTCCCTGTGTGCTGAGGGTGGATGGGCCTCCACCTGCCCGTGCTCTGGAAAGTTTTCTGGTTCAGTAACAACTTGCAGCATCACTTAATAATGGTGGGGTGCAAGCAGCAGCCTGGCAGACCCCTCTTGATGGTTCCCAGCAGATCTGGGGAGGGCTGGGCCACTGCTCCATGGGAACTGATGATTTTGCAGCTCTCACGCTGAGCCAGAGTTCAGGTGCTGGAAATTCCCTGCAGCAGCCTGGCCTCTCCTGTGCTTTTTCCCTGGAAGGAAACAGGTCAGGAAATCTTTTTGTAAAATCCCTAATCATGGGGACGGTGCCTGCTGGCATTTCAACATCTCCATCACCCCCACAGCAACTTTCTCCCAAGGAGATAACATCCCAACATCCCAGTGAATCCCCTGGACTTTCTAAAGGCAAAGAGAAGAACAGATCCCAGGAAGAACTAAGTACCCCAGGAGCTGTCAGGGTGCACCCCAGGAGCTGCACCACAAATTGGGGTCCCCTGCCACATCCCCACCACGGGTCAGTCATTTCCCACATTCCCCCTCCTCCCCTGGGACCGCAGGATCATCGTCTCCATCACCAGGAGGTGTTAGTCCTGCTCTACCCACAACTGCTTGGCCACAGGTAAATATTTAACTGAAACTTGCTTGTTTGTTTGGATTTTTTAAGTGAGTGTTTGTTATTGCAGCATTTCTCTCTTTCAAGTGCTCGGTGACCGATAAACAGATTAACAGGTGGGAGAAGTGTCTGATAAACGGAGGGAAATAAAAAAGGCTTTTTTAGAACACGCGATTTCAATCAGCCAGAGCTCGTCGTGGAAGTGGCTGCACTAAAGGAAATGCATAAAAAGGAACGCAGATAACATATTTTTAGCCTCAAAGCAGGTTTCTCACACAAGGAAAGCTCTGTACACCAAGGTGAGTTTTCCACCCAAGGTGCAAAATGTATTTCTGAGGTACCTGAGGGCAGGTATGTGCAGCTGAGAGGGTGAGACACACCTTGGGACAGCCCCTGCCTGGCAGCAATGAAGGGTTTGCACAGATATTACTTACCTGGAATGCTCCAGGAGCTTGAGCCACCTTTCATCACATTTCCATGGGGTGTAAGAGCTTTTTCTGCTGTATTCCACATATTGAGGTACAGCTGAAAGTATGCACAAAGCAACACCCTTTTTGTCCCAGTTTTCTGGGCAAATATGGCCGAGCTACTTCCAAAAGACAGAAAAAACCCACCCCATTTTGCTCCCTTGAAACAAAAATATTGATGCACCTTTGAGAATTTAGCTTTTAAAATTCCTTCCAAAATAGCTAAAAAGTACAAATTATTTTGCTTAACTTGAAGAATTTCTAAATGTAAGCTTTGGCCTCTTTATTCCTTTCATCTTCATATTTTAATGCTGAATCCACTGTTACGAGTTTGCAGATTATGATGATCCAATTGGGGAACCTTTTGAACAAAATAAACTATTTCACTGAAAGTATTTGGTGTGTGTGTGCTACAGCTCACCCTCACGTTTATCTCTGAAGCCCAGTGACCCTTCAGGCTGGGTTTTCTGACAGGATTTTCGGGTTATAAACCATGTCTGGAACAATCCACTTGCTGCTTTCAGCTGATCTGGCGCTTGCTGCAGCTGCTTTTGTTTTAGGAAGTTTCTTTTTAATCCATGAATATAGGATTAGGACGAGAAGGGAAATACATTAAATACATAAAGTACATTAAACTGCATTTTAAAAGGGAAATACGTAATTACTTGGGGTAAAGCTACTCAATTAAAAAAAATACTTCAACCACCAATCCAGGCACAGGGAAATGCAGGGAATTTTCATTTGATTGGGAAAAATATGTCAGCATCTGCCATCAGCATCCACTCCGCCTTGCCTTGCATGTCCCTGCTTATAGCAAAAAATTTGATAGATTTTTTAAGCTTAATCTCCCTGCAAAGCTGTGGAGAGGAGGAGCCTTGGAGCATCTCCCAGGGGCAGAGACACAATTCCCCCAAACAGGAGACACAACTTGGCTCTCTCACAGCCCCGTTGGTACCAGGGCCTCACAAGTGAGGACTTGAATTTCCTGGGTGAGGGCTTTATTTAGATAAACCAGACTGACTGGGATAAAGAAAAAATTGATTAGCACCGTGCTAAGGGTAGAAACCCCGTAAATGAGTAAAACACCTGAGTAAAACACCCCCTTTTGTGGCACCCACCGTTAGTGCCATTAACACAGAAAACAAGGACAGCACGGCATCATCCCTGACCTGAGAGATGGTGGCAGCAAGAAAACTCTTTCCTCCCCCCACTCACTTCCCCACTTGCCAGCCCTGGTATCTGAAGGCTTTATTTGTTCATCAGCATTTTCTATTTGCACTCAGAGGTTTTAATGAGACGCCCGTCCTGGGTTAAACAAAACTCCCAGGGGACGAGCCCATTAGTGGCTGTAAAGCAACAGGGAACTGCCTCCCATGAAAAGCCGCTTCTTCCTGGCACGGACTGCTGTTTAAAAGGCAAAGCAGGAGATTCCAGAGCACTTCATCACTGCTGATTAGTGTTTTCTTTCTAGTTTGGTGGCTGCCCTGATGCTACAAACACTGCACTGCATCCTTTTCCTGCATTTCCCAGCAGCTGCCGGGGTTTGGGGCACCCCATGGCCACGGGCAGGTCCCTGGGGTGGGGCTGTGGGGCAAAGGAAAGGGGAAACGCTCCTCCAGAGCATTTTGGAGGGACTTCAACTGGTTATTTGATTG